CTTAGTGCACTAGCTAGGACTTTAATAAGATGTCAAAAGTAGTGGGGAGAGGGGACATCCTTGCTTTGTTTCTGATCTTAGTAGGAAAGCTATGAGCTTCTCACCATTAAGTATGATGACACCTGTAGGTTTTTGTAGATATTCTTTTATCAATTTGAGGAAGTTACCTTCAATTCCTAGTTTACTGAGAGTTTTTATTATGAATGAGTGTTGGACTTTGTCAAATGCTTTTTCTGCATCTATTGATGTGATCATGTGATTTTTCTTATTTGGCTGTTGATGTGATGGATTCCAGTCTTGATTTTGGAATGTTAAACTAGCCTTGCATACCTGGGGTAAATCTTACTTTGTTATAGTGTATAATTCTTTCTATACAGTGTTGGATTTGATTTGCTAATGTTTTGTTGAGGACTTTTGCATCTGTGTTCATGGGAGGTATTGGTCCATAGTTTTCTTGTGATTTTTTTTTCTGGTTTTGGAAAATTAGGGTAATTCTGGCCTTGTAGAATGATTTGGGGAAGTATTTTCTTCTGCTTCCATCTTCTTATAGGCATTATAAGGAATTGGTATAATTAAATGTTTAGTAGAACTCACCAGTGAACCCATCTAGGCCTGGTGCTTCTGGTTTTGGAAGGTTATTAATTGTTGATTCCATTTTTTTTAGTAGATATAGGCCTACTCAAATTATCTAGTTCTTCTTGGTGAGATTTGGCAGATCATGTCTTTCAAGGAATTGATCCATTTCATCTAGGTTATCATGCCACTGAGCATAGAGTTGTTTATAGTATTCATTTGTAATGTCCACGAGATCTGTAGTGTTGTCCCCAATTTTATTTCTGAGTTAGCCTAGAGTTTTGCCTAAAAAAAGGAAACCAAGTTTAGAAGCTATTCACATAGATATGACATAACCAGGAAATGTGCTGGATTTGATATCCCACTATTGACCACCCTGGCCACTCAGTGTCCACTAAGCCACAGAGCAGAGATCAGAAACACTGCCACACTGCTACCAAAATATTAAAGGTCTTCATGATTCTAGTTGGCAAAAAAGTCTGTACATCTGACACCGGACACTTCTAATTCTCGCTTTTACCTTCCCAGTCTAGGTGAGAAAGCCACTGACATTTGAGATGATTCTTTTTTTTTTTTAATGTTTATTTATTTTTGAGACAGAG